ATGCCAGCACCACATCTACCTCGGCTGCTGGAGGAAGCACTAGTACCTCCCTCCCTTCTTACTACTCCACAAAGGGCTTGCCATTTGATGCAAAGAGTATTTTACAGAGCCTGGATCCAAAGACCTCTATCACTGCTGCAGCGTTGGCAGGATTAGACCCAAAAGTCTTAGGTTTTGATCCTAAACTTCTTGGGAGCCTCGATCCAAAATCATTAAGTCTAGACCCAAAGATGCTACCTCCATTAGATGCAAAGTTCCTAGCAACTATGGGCCTAGACCCTAAATTTTTGGGATTAGATACTAAACATTACGAATCAAAGCGTCATGAAAGCAAACATCATGATAAACATGAAAGTAAGTCAGGACACTCCTCCAGGTCGCAAGAAAGCAAGTCATCATTACATAATATTGACCCCAAATTATTAGGCTTAGATCCAAAACTATTAGCAGGATTGGATGCTAAGACATTAGCTGCCCTGGACCCAAAAGTACTTGCAAGTAGTTTAGCAGGATTAGACCCTAAAGCATTGGGAGGTCTTGATCCTAAAGCTCTGGCAGGACTTGATCCCAAAATTATGGGTGGTCTTGATCCCAAAGCTCTAGCAGGATTTGACCAAAAAGCTTTAGCAGGTCTACTTGACCCAAAGTTATTAGCAGGATTAGATCCAAAATTCCTTGATCCCAAGGTACTATCAGCTCTGGACCCTAAATTCCTCTCAGGATTGGACCCTAAAGTATTAGCAGGACTTGATCCCAAGTTATTATCAGGTTTAGATCCAAAGACACTTGCTAGCCTAGATTCTAAACTAACTGGTTTTGATCCCAAGTTGTTAGGTCTAGATCCCAAAATGTTTGGGGGTATTGACCCCAAACTGTTAGCTAATTTGGACCCGAAGCTCCCAGGAGGATTAGATCCCAAGACTCTTGGTGGTATTGATCCGAAGTTATTAGCTAATATGAGTATGGATCCAACCATGATGATGATGGCTGGCTTTGGTGGCTTGCCTGCAATGGCTGGACTAGGAATGGGCAATCCTTTGTTAGGTGGACTAGCTGGGTTTGGATTACCAGGATTGCCTAATTTGAATGATTTAGCCTCAACTTCAAAATCTAAGGACCATAGAAACGCAGCAGCGAGTTCTGCAGCCGGTTTATCGTTTCCAAGCATGTTCCCAGGGGTTAGCACTGCAGGCCTGATGTACCCACCTTTGGGACTTGGTGGGTTAGGTTCCTTCCAGTTACCATCAATGTCTTCTGCAGCATCTAGTGCTTTATTGAATGGTATCCCTACAAGCATAATGTCCACAGCAGGTTCTTCTCGCCATGCCAACCAGAGTTCTACCACAATCAGTAGCAGCAGCAAGTGGCGTGATGACCATAGAAAATCTCGTGAAGCAAGGGATGATCACCGTAGTAGAGCAGAGAAGCAAGAACCATCAGATGAAGTAGAACGGGGCCTTAGTGTGCGTAAAGAAAGATTGAAGGAACAATCCGGACTGTCAAAAGAGGAACGTTACTTACTGAAACAGATGAAAGCAGAAAGATTGGCTCGTGAGATTGAAGCTCAGGGAGGGCAAGACCCCTATGCAGCACACTTAGATTTGTCATTGCATAAAAATCAGGAAGTTCATAGAAATGTGAAAGCCCAAGAAGCACCAGAAAACCTGAGCAAGGAATCTGATGCTAGTAAGCATGCATCTGGGGGGGAAGCCCAAAACTTGAACACAAAGGAAGTGGAAAACGGTGAAAAAAGTGGCACAAACTCTGAGAAGGAGGAGGAGGAGGAGGAGACGTCATAGTGCAGTGGTGTCACATTCTACAAATCAACAGTTGTAAGCAGTAATTTAGCCAACATTGAAAGTATAATTGGTATACTTTAGTATAAACCTGAGGCGATATTTTAGTTAAAATGTGTGAATGAAAACTCCAAGTATGCAATGTGTGTGATTGTGACATACAACAACCCCACCCCACCCCCCGTTTTCCATGCTACTGCTCTTCATATACCCACACATCAAATATTCACTTTGACATTTAACTGTGATACTGACCTCATTATTTATTCCATATTTTGTGCGAAAATAATATATCAGCTGTCTGAAGGGAACACATTTCCATTGACCATTGAAAAGCCAACTTTGAAGTGTGAAAGCATCTTATCTTTTCCATTAGTGACGTGTGCCAGGTGTTGTGATGACGCTGCAACAGTGCAGAAATGGACGAGAATGAGCTAAGTTGCCTAGTATTGATGAACACAAACTATTAGTGATACGCTAATTTGGATCTGAATTGTTCCAAGCTGTTATGAGAGGAGTGGTGCATCTGTTTCTTGTGTGTGTGGTCGTGTAACATTCTAGAAGCTGCTTTATATTGTATAATTGCTATTTCACACATTGAACCTCTCGAAAGTGCTTTAGGAGTCAAGTACAAGAGTGTAGAGATCTTTCCTTTCATTAAAAAGAGTTGGATCTTAACTGCAATCCCATGTCTGTGTATATATTATTATTAAGACTGAATAAAATTGTAAGCAAACTTTTGTAAAAGCTAAATGTAAACTAAAGTTCACTAATATTAAAGGGAACTTGGTGATATATTTCTTTTATTTATACTTCTAGAGATTTGTTTTTATATGAAGATTCATTAAAATGTGCCTTGAACACTCACTGGTGTTTACATTAACAGATGCGATGACTAGATCCTTAATTGTGCTTTTATCAACATGGAAAAGTAAACCCTTCTACTTCTCTGGTATTAGTGATGAGAACAAGAGAGATACCTTCATTGGAAGAAACTATGTATATTTTTCTCTTGGTTCAGTCTATAAACCAATTGTAGAAGTCTCACTTTACGAAAGTACCACAAGATTTTTTTGTTAGGAATTGACCACACTTGGTCATAGTCACCTTGTAATAACAATCAAAATACGGATTTCAATAAGGTACCGGTAAATATTCTTGCAAGAACTCGAGGAATATGAGGATGTATATAAAAAAGGTAGTTCCTGATGTGTGTAGCGTAGAGAGCAGAATGCCTTTTTTCTTTTTACTTTTTAAGTTCTTCGCAATTTGTTGCTCAGAAGAAGAAATAAAATCTTGTTTTTTTTTTTTAGGAGTTCCCTACTTTTTAATCCAAAATTTCATCTTGAGGCCGAATGAAGCATAAATTTTTTGAAGTATTTACGAAGGAAAGGGTTGAACACGTGCATCAGATGCAGTATTTGAATGGAACTTGGTACTTGATACTGAACAGATTAGATTATTATCGGCAGGGATAATTCAACAGCGTTATGATTTCGGGAAACCGGTATCTTGGGTGCTGGACTTGGCAAACTGAACTGGAATATCAGTACAGTAATAAAGTAAAAAGGAAAAATAATCAGACCTAAATAGGATAATGAAACGGACACTTATTGCTCAAATTAGAATACTGAATAACAAATCTTGTCAGAACTGAAAAATATACTGCAAATCAGTGACCTTGCAAGTCTAGGATATTTTTTTCCAACCTCTTTGCAGCGTACTCTCGGGTTTACATCTTTCGTGTAAGGATACTGATAATTGCTTGCAGTACATGTTTTTCTTGTCAGTTTACGCTTTCATCATCATGCATTCAAATGCAAGCTGGAAGCAGTCATATGAAAAGCTAATTTGTCATTTCTATCCAGAAAATGTCGCATGACAATTTACACATATGCTATCAAGTATTTCAACTATATTCATGTTTAATGACGACTTGGTATACATGTGGGTGACCTACACACCTGAATATAACGCAAATTCCATCGGTATCAATAGAGCATATTACCTTAGGTCTGTTAATATCTATGCTCTACCTAACATTGCCATGCAGAGCAAGGTCTTCACAAAGGTTCCAAACCATTATATATAAAATACTAAAATTCTGAAATCCCTGCATATTGTCATTGGCCTTTTTCCTGCCTAGGTATGGTTGTTCCTCACGATACATGAGACTACTAGATATCAAAACTACATTCATAGTTCTTGGCTGAAACATCAGTTATAATTTATACAAAGACGGGAAAGTATGAAAAAGGCGCTAGACAGGGACAATACAGTTTGTAAGGTTAACAGACTATGAAAAATATATACAAAGAATTTACATACAAAGAAGGTAAATGAGATGAGCAACTGTCAGACTGGTAAAAGATTCAGAAACTTGTGACCAATTTAGCATTAGAGAAAATCGTCGTCAACAACGGATATAATGTAAATTGTCTAAATCTGAGCCAGAGAAAAATATAGGTATTGATTTAAAATGCCCCAACCATTACAACAGGATTCAAATGGAGTACTGAAAAGTGAGAGAAAAAAACGAAAACTCTTAATAGAGACCTTATGAAATATGCCCCCCTAACCTCATACCCGTTGTTGCCGGTGGAGTGCTAAGGAGACGGAGACTGGGACACTAGCCCAGTGTTGAGGATCACCCTGTTCCTCAACCTGCTTGCTTTGGACCTCAGCCCTTGTCTCAGGTAATTTTGCATGGTCTTTAATTCTCCATATTATTTTTTTATTATTATTTTCTTCATTCCCTTCTTCCTAAAGTGGGAGAGCCGTGCTGAAAGGATGGTTTTGTCAGTTCTGAAAGGTTTTGCCCCTAAGTCTCGCCATTTTGTTATATTTTGTTTACACCGCTAATGACCATTAGATGTAGACGCGGCAGAAACATTTCAATAAACAGCAGAATATGAGATATGTACGACAAATTGTACCCCCCCCCATCTCGTGTCCGTTTTTGTCGCAAGGAGGGGGGGAGAGAGAGGAGTGGGGCTGGCCCAGTGTTGAAGATCACCCTTGTCTTGGACCTCAGCTCTCGGCTCAACTTATTTTACATGGTCTTTTCTTCTGTCTCTTTCCTATTATTTTTCCTTTCATTTCTTTTTCCTTTCCAAACCCTTCTCCTATCCACTTCCTAAAATATGAGAGCCGGGTTTAAAGGATAAAAAAACTGGCTTTGGGTCAGTCCTGAACGGCCTCGGGGAGCCATAAACTTGGTATTTCCTTACCTATCATGGGGACCAGAGAAGTGAACCAGGCTTACCATAACTAATGAAGATTTTGTACCCTTATTAAGGACACTAAGGCTTGCCCATTTATCAACTATCACCTTTGACTAACTTTTCTGGTTCCACGATCCTTTGCACCTGTTTTATCATTATTATCATAATAATTATTAGGATGGTGATTTTTAGTATTAAAATCATTGTCAATATTATTTGATAATGATAATCATATAATTGATAATAATAATGTTAATAAAAATAATATCCATAAGGATATTAATGATACTGATTATGTTAATGATAATCATCATGATGATCTGATCATGATTATCAAACTGCAAAAATGCAGTTTTACATCAGCAAATCACATTTATGCTGAAGGGCGCTTCCCCATGAGACACGCCCAATGCCCCGCGCAGTCAGTATCTCCAAGGAATCTAGAATGGAAGTAGCGTCATCCCCATTGAGCTCTGTGGTAACACTTAACGAAATATGTTTTTTTTTCCTGTTTTTTTGCAAGCTTCATAATAATATAAAAAATTGTATGCTCAAACAAAGGCGTGGATTTTTTGTTGCACTCCTTACACTGGTGATTATGATAATAAAAAATAAAAAACAATCCGCAATTGTAAACAATTTCTGTCCTGATTGGCTTGCTATTGTGTCACTAGGGTGACGTCATAGCTCCGCCCCATTTTGACAGGTCACGTGAGGCGGGAAAGCGCGGATTATTCAAACGTGTTGACATATATATATGTATATATATACATATATATATGACATATACATATATATATGTATATATCTACATATTCATATGCATATATATACACACCCGATTTGTCAAAATGGGGCGGGGCCAAGGCAGGCCGCCGAAACGAGATGCCAATTAGTTAATTTCCTTCTGCTCCATATGCAAACACTTTACAGCCTCCATGAATATCTCGTGTGCTTTCGGGGTGTTTGGATGTCATAAACTGCGCTCCTGCTTCCTCATATTCGAGTCGTATATTCCGCTGCCTGTTTAGTCCCGTTACCTGTTACGCAGTCATTTAGAGCCTTTTCCCGTTATCCGTCATAGGAGCGGGTTGGTGCACTTACGGATTTGTTGAACTGTTGTGGCACGAATTACTAACTTCGGTTCGGTTCAACGGTCTTCTGGTCAGCCATGTGGGACGCAAGTTCTCATCGACGTCCAGGCTTTAAGGGCCCTTCATCATACGGAAATCTCATATAGGAAGGATCAGTCCAGAAGTTCCTCTTCCCAATTGGGATAATGAGGCAATTAAGGTACCGTCTGTGGCCGGTACGGGCAGTACTTCGGTCTCGGTTGCTGGTGCCGAGCAACAACGTGCGGATTGTCCTCCTTGGTCTGTGATGTTGGACGCTATTTGTGAGTTACGTGCATATATGGCTAAGATGATGTAAAAGGAGGAAGAAAGGACAAAGAGAGGACCAGTCTTCTCGACTCAATTCCTTTGAAGTTGAGCTTACCGTGAATGACAAATCGGTTCGGGACGATAATGCGCGCTTCACGAGAGCTGTCTCGTACCACACAAGGTCTATATAAGTATATACTTATATAGACCTTGATACCACACAGGATGATTGTTTGTTCGTTTCGAGGGAAGACGTTGTTGTTGTTGTTGTTGTTTTTTTTTTTTTTTTGACAAGAGGAAGGTGAGATTCATGATGATCCCGTTGGCAGTGTTTTGCTACAGAATGCTAAAACTTTTGGCCCAACAGACCAGATTTCGGAAGACGATCAACACGTTGTCGACATGATTAATCACTTGTTTGATAATGGGATGAGAGCGGACGAGTATAAAGAAATTTTGGAAGACGAAATTACTTATAGGCTCAGAAATTGTCGTGCTTTGGCTCCGGTGGAATGTAATTGTCAGATTAGAGGCCCTCAAGTCGGAAGCGAAGAAATCAGATTTTCGTATGAAAGAGGTCGGAAAGGATATTATTAAAGTAGCTACGATTATTTCCAAGTCTCTTACAGTGGCCGACAAGCTTGCTCAAGAGGATCAGAATCCAGCCGTAGTGCATGAAGTGGGCATGATTAATGGAGCCTTAGCTTTATTAGGCAATGCCAATTACAAGAATAATCTGACCAGAAGATTTATCAAGTGAGAAATAAATTGGAAATATTCTCACCTATGTTCAGAGAAAGTGCCTATGACAAGATTTCTGTTCGGGAATGATCTCTCTCAATCGGCGAAACAAATTGAAGAGTCTGAAAAACTCAGGAACAAGTTTTCTTAGAAGAAACCCTTCAATTAATGGAAATTTGTTACTGGAAGATTTGGTGGAGCCAGGGCAAGAGAGAACCCTGGGAAAACCCCCTTCTGAGGATTCTCATCCAGATTCCACCCTTACAGTTATCGGAAATCTGGCTTCAGAGAGACAAGTTTTTGCCAGGTGGGAAGTTCCAAAAAACTCCCGAAGTCGGGGTCCCAGCAATCCCCAACAAAAATTCAGGTAAATCTAGGTTTTGTTGCAGGTAAACTTTCCAGTTATGGTCAAGAATGGCATTAGATTACAAGTGACCCAGTTATTT